AATCATGGGATTGTCTAGAAGTACATTGATCTTAATTTAGTTCATCTATGAATAAACATAATCATTTTTGGACATACTCGCTCATAATAACAAGAAAACACTGCACAAGTGTTACAGTTACATCATTGAGGTAAACACTAATATTAAATTGTTATTATATGTCTGCTATAAGTAGTCCAGGCTACACTTATTACCATGCAGTACTTTTAGACCGTGAAATATGATCCTACAAAAAATTGTTCCTTTCCTCTTCCTTGGACAACACTCGACACACCATCCTCCTGTACGATCCTACTCTTGGTGGTCTCATACGGCATCACAACTTCCCCCCCCCCCCGTTCCAGCTTTCTATACAAACAGAAAGTAAGACAATTTTGCTACGTCTTTTTTTCGAATTTAAGAGAATGTACAAAATGATAATCATCATCTTCAGATTTTCCACTTCAAGGAATGCTGATAGTTTTATTGATACATTTTCAGTGTATAACAGAAAAAGATGTATTGATCGTAATAAATAATGGTAGCATATTATAATATATATATTATATATATATCAGGGTTTCTTATACAATAAGAGCAGCAGTGTGCACACCACCGTTGTCAAATTTACATCGTCGTTCGTGAAAAGCCCCCTGTAGAGTTAGGAACTCAAAGTATGATAAATTATCATTTAATTTTGTTCATTACTGTGTTTTTACCCCAAAGGCCCATTACATCGCTTTGTCTAATTTTTTACCTCAGAAGAAACCCTGATTGGTGATCTATATGTATACCTATCCAGGCTTCGAATTTCGGAACAGTGTTTGAGGACTAATCCGTCCGGAATCTTGTTTCCTTCACGCAATGAGCAAATCCCTCAAAATTCTTAAGTAATTCAGTAACAAGGGTAGGCAAATTTTATATGAAGAAAAAATAGCTGCAGGGGCAAACCGTCCTGAATAAAATACCTTAAAGTTAAAACATTGGCCTTTTAGGCTTTGGGAGCTCAGCCATTTTATTGTACAGGATTCTGTCCAGACTAGTTGAATTGAAATGCTGTATACATCCGGCTCTGCATCCTTGCATCAAAAAGTTCAGAGCACTAGGGCTCGCAAGGGCACCTAGCTTTTGTCTCAGCTCATCCCTTTTGAAACTGTTGGTTAAAGTTACAGATTCAAACACCACCTGCAGTCGTCAATCTGAGTATTGCTGTCAATAACTGAGCGTCCACCCATCATCTGAGTGGTAGAATCATCAACTGAGTCGTCACCTGGGTCATCACTGTCCATAATTGAGCGTTCACCCATCAGCTGAGTGGTAGAATCATCAACTGAGTCATCGCCGTCTATTAGACCTGGGTGTTCACCCATCACCTGAGTAGCAGAGTTGCCAACTGAGTCATCTACTGAGTTGTCACTGTCACTGTCACTTAAAACTGCTTGCTCATCAGCTGACTACTTGCCTTCATACGTGGCCCATAAGGCTGGATGTATGGGCGCTTAGACGTTTTTCCCGGAGCCAGCCACAACTGAACGGCTCTGCTTGGGTCGTAACTTCCGACTTCTGGAGATTCCAATGCTACCCTCATCAGGCTTACTAGCTGCTTGTGCAGAGAACTTCTCCAATCTGTCTTTATCGGCTTCATCAGAGGGAAGCCTCGTTCACAGTCAACACTGCCAACTGGTATGCAGAGAACGAGCTCGATTGCAGTAAATATGTTGCTGCACAGGTTATGACGAGCACGCATAATGTCCTCCCGGTTGGCCATGTTATAATCCACATATCTCTTTCCAACAAATGTTTTCAGACTACTCCACTCGGGCTGCATCTTGCCAAGATCTGCTCCAGCGTCTTTCATAATCTGACCATGGGCTGCAATCAGTAAATCAAGATCATTCTCACCATACTGAGTCGGCTGCTCTTTATCATTTGGCCAAGACTGAATGTTTACAATATTCCCCATAGCAATTATGGTGGCACTCCTCTCTGATTCAAACCTCCCTGATAGAGTTTTAACCAAACTGTCAAGCAGTGTTTGCCGATCACTCTCAAATAGATCCACATGTCTGGTGGTGATGTCCCCTGGTGTGGAATCAGTGTCACTTGAACTTCCTCAGTAGCTGCAGCACTTAAATTCCTCACCTTTGAAAGATGTTCACCATCTCTTCTCTTCAGGAGTTTCAGGTGGTTTATGGCTGCTTCGATTGCTTCTGTGGCATTGCCGCGAGTGCAGTTCATTACCTGCAACTGTCTTGACAATACAGGAAAAAACCATCCTTCAGGAAATTGGCATACAGGACAAACCGCCCTGAATCAATTACCTTCAGCATCCCTTTTGCTTTGGAAGCAGCATTTTGTTGTCCAGATTTGCCAATTTGAAGCTGTTTGAAATGCAGTATAATGGCACTGTATGTTTTCAACAGATGATCAATTGCACAATTTGTGTGTGCAATCTATCTAGTTCCACCGACACGGGTAGGGACCAAGTAGGAGAAGCCTTCTGCCTCACAGGCTCTGTGCAGTAAACTCCTGTTTAATAAGGATCCATGATAGAACAAATAAATGTTGAGCAGCAAACTGTTCATATTGCGTTGATACTCAACTTTGTTAGCTGCATCCTTTATAGCAAGCTCTAGGCGGTGTGCCATGCAATGGGTGACATGGATTTCGGGTTTCTTTGCTTTGATCAGTCCAGAAAGACTTGACCTGCATCCTTGCATAACAGAAGCACCATCAGCTCCAAACCCACAGTTTTTTTGCCACTGTTCCTCTGTCAACTCAACCTGCTCTTGAAATCCTTTTGAAATGCCTATTGGATATAGATAGATAAAATTAGCCCATTATATATGGATTATAACAGTGGATTATAATATAATCATTATATGCACACCTATCACAGTAACCAAGTCAAACAATGGAATGACTGCTTCCCTAACGTTTTAGTTATATTTAGTACAATACATGTACCAGATGCGCGAAATCTGACATCGATTCCGTTGTGACACTGAAACCCGCTGTGAAACAGCTGAAACAGTGAATGCATTGCAACCATCAGGGGCCCGTTGCCAGAAACTTCGTAAAGTTACGATTAATTTTAAGTCTAATGTTAATGTTAAGGTTAATTTTAATAGCGTTGCCAGAAACCACTTAAACTAACTTACTTAAGTGAAAACTTACGATAACAGGAACTTCATCACAAGGCTGCTGATTGGATGGGAATCGATCACAAAATTCAAATTCATACACATTTATTGTACATCACAGTAATTTATGCATATTATGATGGCCTAAACACATATAAATAATATTTGATGAAATATTACGTGGTCATGAATTAATTCTGCACAACAAGACAAATTCTCACACTGTAACACGAGACGCGAGAATCGTGGCAAGCGTTGCAAACCTTTGAAACAAAGAGAACAAATGCCATACGTCATTTATAAATGTATTGTTTTGTTTTATTAGCGGTAGATAATTAATGATTTTGACGTGTTTTTCAAGAAAAACACACATTGTATTCATTATTATAAAATATAATATCACTATAATTGTAATTCGTGGTGTAAATGTGTTATTTTCAACTTAATATTAAAGTTAAGGGAGGGTCTAGGATCTCTTAAGTTAAGAGAAAAGTTACGAGAATTTTTAATTCTCTTAACTTTACGAAGTTTCTGGCAACGCTTTAAGAGAAAAACTTAAGTTTAAGGTTAATGTTAAGACTAATTTTTTTCTGGCAACGGGCCCCAGGTCTTTCTAAACATCATTGCACCACATTTCATCACTGAGCGCATTGTAGGGATATTCTGAAACACAATTACTCACTAGTTTCAATTATGAAGCGAAATCCAGTGGAAATCCAGTCGGTGATCTTTCGAAACGAGCAAAAATGACGAAATCAGTTTGTGCTTGTTGTGAATCGGGTAGCATCTATACTAGTATAGAGTATAGATGCTACCCGATTCATAGATATATATTCATAGATATAGATTCTATACATTATAACTCCTATAAAGCCCACCTGGGGTACCTCGTCCGTTCTGTTTGTACGGTGGGGCTGTTGGGACCTAATTAACGTCGTACACATTTTTTCACAATTTTTATAAAATTAATGATCAATC